TGTGCAGAGCTCCGTCTTGTTTGGCACCCCACAAGTTCTAGCTGCTTCAGCTCTCTACATTTAGATAGTATCTCCTCAACTAGGAGTGCCAGTGTTACGCCTGGGTTACCCTTTCAGAAACCTGAGTGAACTGTGGATACGGATCCATTGTTTCCATTCTCCTGAGGATCACAATCATGTCACTTGTTGTCCAAGATTTAAAAGTGGTTGTTGCATACTTTTATTTATTTTTCAGTTTTCTAGATGTCGACAGTAGGAAGGCGCGTATAGTTGCAGCTCCTCCTCATTGCTGGAAACATGTTTATTGTAAATGCCATGCCCTGACATTTTAATGAAAATACTTCAGAAGAAATAATGTGCTTGGTCATTAAAAATTTAATTAGACCAAATAAGCTATCCATATCAACTCAGTCGAGAAAGTGGGATCATGGTGGAATAAAAATGGGGACAACTGTACTTGAACAGTGATAACAAAAAGAAAAGAAAAAAGAAAAAGAAAGTAGAAAACTGCTTAAATCTAATTCTACCCACCTCACTATAGATATACGGTATACCTCATATACTCAAGCTTGGTTTTGTAGGTAAAATTTAAGACTATTTGTCTTGTCAACCACATGGTTAAACTGAACAATATTATGGTTGAACTCCTTTTGTTGCCTAGCAGTGACACTGAACAGTGCTTCTACCACAAGTTGGGAAGTTTTGTGATGACAGCCAGGCCCCACAGTGACTCCTGGCCACCTGGGAGGGTTGCCTAGACTGTTGGGACATGGTAACGGGATACCTGGTCACAACTCCTTGTTATCTGGGAGAAGTATCCCCATCTTAGCTGGCCTGTGTGTGAAGATCTGACTAGGATTTAGCACAAAGTATGACAGTCTAACCATCAAACCCAATACCAGTTTCATTCACTGGGTCTGCTCAGCCTGGTCTGCTCTAGTGTGCTTCTTCACACACTTCCATGACCATTATTTTGGATGTCAGAAGGTAAATGATACTCCTGCATATTTCTGTGAGGCACTCTTATAAAAAGACACCTGAAACGCTGACCAGTGTGCTTCAGTTGGATGGATATTGTGCTGCAAAGCAAAGGTTCACTGGTTTGAGTCCCCATCTGGATTGCAAACCCACATGAGAGAGGCAACTGATCAGTGATGTTTCTCTCACTCATTGATTTCTTTCTCCCTCTCTTTCTCCCTCCCTTCTCTTCTCTCTAAGAATAAATAAAATCCTTTAAAAATAAAAATGGAGCACTAAGTTCAGAATAACCCTATTTTTTATTTATCAGGAAGCAGAATAAGGAGATAGGGACCAAGAAAAAAATACTGTGGGGATTAGGGAAGGAGGGATGTATCCATTCTTTCTTTGGCCAAGTCTCATCTGGCCCCCACCAAACTTGTTCCATCTCTTCCCAAAGTTTATCTCCCTCCTCAGCCAACAGAGAGGGGAAGAACTGTGGTCCCTTCTGTGAATACAGGATTAATTGGAAAAACCAAGAACTATGGCATTTTGGGAAAAAGATGTAGCTCATCATTTTTCCTCCCAAATCAACAGAAAAGGTAATAGACAAAGGTAATCATCTTTTGAAGGGAGCATTTGTTAGGTACAAGACCTTCACCTATCCACTTTAACATTATTGCCAGCTAACGGCAGACCAAACTGTGACCCGAGAATGGGAACAGCAGTATAAAGTTCCATGTAGCTCTTGTAACAATTATAAATCAATAGAAAACACATATGATTAGCCACTGGGAATGAGGGCATTGCTTAAAGTGAGGGCTTTAAAGTCAGTGGGTGTGTCTTTCACACTTTTGGGGTGGCAGAAACCCTGTTTGTTTCCACTTCGCCCTGTGATAGCTGATTGAGGTCTCGCCATTTCCAAGAGGCATCACAATGAGCTGAGCAGTCATAATACAGGAGAGCAGTTCTCGTTGTGGAATATTCTCAAGTCAGCAGTGCCTGGAACACTCTGCAATCTCACCCCGGCACATTCTAGAATCACCAGTGCTTGGCCCTTGGCCCATACCCATGAAGTCAGACTCTGGCAATAGTGCTTAAGTATCAGTACTTTTGTTAAAGACCTCAGGCGACATTAATGGCAGCCGGGATTAAGGACCATTCCCTTATACTGATAATTCATGCGAACCTGGATAGCCGCAATGACATAAGCAATTTCAATGGTTTTCTTGACCATTTAGGCGCCTTTGCCTCCCTTGACATTGTTTTTCCCTGTTTAAATCTACCCACCCCACTGTGTCTGCATCAGATTTCTTTTTCTTTTTCTAAGGATAATCCATCAAGTCAGAAAATGAAATGCTCAAATAGGAAATGCTCCACAGTCTAGGATTTTCTAGTGATTTAATTACCTAATTACTGGAGCTGGCTGCCAAGCACAAATGATTTCATTCAGTCTCACTATTTTATAACACAGTTCAAAGAACATTTGAATTTCTAATTCAATTTTTGTTCTTTTGAGACTATTCTACAGAGTTTTGTATATCTCTAATGATAGCTCCATTATTGGACTTATAATCACTTCAGGGTTGTACTTCATTTCTGGAGTATATAACATATGCTGAAGGAGAACTGGTGCTGAGATGGCTTAATTATTCTAATGCATTCTGTCTTCAATACACTCCCCTGATGGAGAGGACAGGGGTTTGAGGGGAAGGAAAGCTGGCAAAAACTCAGGATCCGAGGACTGAGGCTGCCATAGCAGTGAGCTTAGGAGACAAGCTGCTTATCTTTTCCATGTGACTTCTCTTCAGAATTGCAAACTCTTCTAAGCTCCAGAACATGCTTGCTCACAGTTCTTCACACCCCCATAGGCAGAGAAGAGCTGGGCAGTTCTGGGAAGTAAAGTAACTCGTGTGGTTAAGACAGCATTCCCAGACCTTGACTGGAGAGCTGCTTTGTTTGAGAAGCTATGATTCTGCAACTGAGCCTCCACCGTTCAAGGGTTGCAAGGAGTGGCAAACTGTGGGAGGCTCCTCCCAGCCAGCCAGAGGACCAAACCATGCCAGCCACCTACAGGGTGATGTCGCAGCCACACACATCAGAACCTGGATATCAAATTCACCACACTTCAGCGATGTTTATGCTATAGCAATTCCACCCCTGCCCTCACACCTACAAGTGTTCACTTTTGAAAGCAGTAGACACTACCATACAAATGATAGATTTAGGAATTGTTTTTCTCTTGAGGGTCTACTGAAGAGTGATAGTTTCCAAATGGCCAGTAGGTGGCAGTACAAGGAAGGAGCAATGTGAGAAGAGGTTTACCCTCCATAAACCCCAGGTTAAGAACCTGGGAGAAGACAGACTCTCTGGGTCCTGCAAATGTGTTGTGTTGCAGAGCACTAAATAATTGGGTTTTAATAATTTTACATTAAAAAATGAATATAGATATTTCACATGAAATGTATATTTCTTGATTTTCTTGAAATGCTAAAATGTCTAGGGGCACTAACCCTAATTCTTTCAGGTTAAAAGCTGGTTGGAGTTGAGTGGTGACTGGTCTTTCAAATGGTCATCTTGCCATTGTCCCTCCTTGGCTTCATTTGTTAAGTTACTGCCTGGATGCTGTGGGCACTGGACTTTGTCACCAGGTGCACACCCTCAGCCCAACCAATACACTTCATTTCACTACAGTCTTTAAAATTGCAAAGCAAGGAGAAGTTAATGCAAAGGATGGGGAACTTCACAGGTGACATGATTCAGAAAAGGGTTTAAATTAATTTGCATGGGACATCAAGGTGTGTAGGACATTGCCTGAGGGACAGAGTAGCCTGGGAGATCTGAGCACTGGGCCATGTCGTTGGGTGTATTGGACCTTACAATCTCTGACAGGGCCTCTTCTCAAGCCCCCTGGCTTTCTGTTTATTTTCTGGTAGGCACCAAGGGAGGGGAAATCTTCTTCTTGGCTTAAGAAGGTGGTGAAAAATGTAGGGCTCATGCCTCTGTGAGCTGAAGAGAGAGAGGGCTGCCCTCTGAAGCCCTTTCTTTATTGGACCTCCCTGGCTGCAGGGGTGACACCCCATTGGTTACTACTGATGCCACACCCATGTGGCTGCTCTAAGCTCCTGGGTGGTTTCATTTTTTACCGATGTTTGAACTATGAACTTCTCAAAGTCAAGGAAGCCGCCTGAGTATAGTCTGAGCCAGCTCTGCATCCTCAGTGATCCACCTCCTACTGAAGGCAGGAGGTGCGAGGCTGACACGCAGAGCAGGCACGTGACCTCAGGAAGAGGGGCACCGCCCCAGCTGCTCCGCATCCACGACCAGGAGGTATACATTACGCTGCTTTGTCAGATTTATGGGGCTTGCTCACCAAGATTCATGACACTAAGGGTCATTTTCTCTCCCTTTTGGTTCCTACATAGTGTACATATTCCCCGACAATGGAAAGGGGTACGTAAAATATTATGGAACCTACTATCCAGATAAAATGCAGATGTTTTTCTCAACAAAATCATCCATGATGGCTTCTTTTCCTTGTGGATTAATCTTCTGGTTCACACTAATATTTCTAAATATATCATAGTTTCTTGCAAAAAAATGGGGGGAGGGTGGAATTAGCTGACTGTCTCACCATTGTGCCTGCTCATTGCGGAGAAGCCAGGAGCCGAGACATTAAGCAGGAACTCTTAACTGCCTGTTTGAATGCTCCAATCACTCCACAGGGTTCCTTTGCTTTCACCTCTCCTCAGAAAAAACAGACTTTTAATGGTCTTTTCATGTGTAAGAGCATGCAGAGCTGAAAAAAGTGGTTTTATATTGACTGTGGTTGCAGTGGAAGGCTCTAGACTAGGACTATGTGTGTGTGAAGGAGGAAACCATGCCTTTATGGTTCTACTGTCCATGTCTTCAGTTTACCTTTAGGAAAGGATGGTGGGAAGAACCCTGGGAAGGTACCTGGTGCTGGGAATGTGGGAAACGAAGAAAAGTGACTTTGGGCAACTAAGACAGAAGACGTTGACTACAAGGGATGCCGTCCGTACCTGGAGCTGTCGCATCTGCTGCAGCTGGAGCTTGAGTTCTGCCACACTCCGCCTCATGTCGAGCAGGCTCAGGTGGACAGCTGAGGTGCTAGGGGCCAGGGGCTGGCTGTATGGCCCTGCAGACTCCGGGGCGCCAAGAGTCTTCCCGCCAGAGACATGGGGAGTTCCTATGAGAAAAGAGCAGCAAAGAACCTAAGAAAACCAGAAAGGAAAGTCCAGGCTAAGTCCCATCCCCAAGCAGATGACTTGGTAACTCTACAAATGTCCAGTGCCTTCATTGTGAAAAAACTATGTTGGTCCTCTAAATGGCAAAATACGGAATCAAGTTTAAAGAAATTACCGGAAACTTCATGCAGTATTACAATGTACAGTCTGTAAAAACCATGTTCCTTAGTGCCCAAGGGAGGCAGCTCAGTGCAGTATTTAAAGCATAGTTAAGGAAGTTAGCTGTCTGCCTCTCCACGTCTTTTTAAATGTACAAGGTTGCAAAGAGAAAAGATCAGATGTAAATGTAGGAAAGAATTACCAGTATCTCTAGCTGTTGGTATTCCATGAGTTCTATATTTTTATATTACTACTTTTTCCTCTTTTAAATCTTCATAGTGAATATCTATAATTTTATAACAGAAAAATAATTTTAAAATTCTGGGACCTACACACAGGTGCTTCCATGGCTATTTCCTGCAGTGAACCAGCACCTAGGAGCCCCAGGAACATGCACTTAGTGCTGAGCAGAGGTTTGGCTGATCGCTGAGGGAAAACTAGTAAGAACTGAGTATTCTCCTGAATCTTTTCAGCTTTCCCAACCAAAAAAAGCAGGACCTCTGCCCTCATCTTGTTCAGTGAGAAAATTGGATGTGATACGAAAATCCTTTAGGAGAGGAATCAAAGCAGCAGAAAGAAACTCTTCCTAAATAGTTTCTAGCTGCCATAAACTTTGTCCCCTTGAGTCTGACTTAAGCCTTATAAGTTCATCTGGGAAGGCCCTGATTTAACTAAGTTTCCTTTAAAAGTGACTCAGGCCTGTCCAGGTAGTTCAGTTGGTTGGAGCGTTGATCCAAGGCACCAGGGTTGTAGGTTTGATCACCAGTCAGGGCACAAACAAGAACAAACCAATGAATGCATAAATAATTGGAACAACAAATCGATGTTTCTTTCTTCTTTCTTCCTCTCTTTAAAATCAATAAACAATTTTTTAAATGCCTCAAAAGTGACCCCAAGTAGCACTTACAGGATGAGCAAGGTACAAGGAAACTATTTATTATTTATTAAATTTTGCACAATGCATTTCTATGGAAGTGGCCACCAGAGTGGAATTCTCCTCCCCCTCTCTCTCTCTCTCTCTCTCTCTCACACACACACACACACACACACACACACACACACACACACAGCCTCTGAAGGGGCTGTTATACTCTTTCCTGTAAAGGTCAAAGTGGAGGATCTGCAATGGGCCAGGCTGGCCTACTACCATAGAACACTGTCATGACTTTGCCTACGCTGCCTACGGAGTGGTTTCAGTGTGGTGGTCTGTCTTCCTATGTTGGCTCAGCACCCACGGGAACCTCTCCTTTCCCAGCACAAGCAGAGCTGCTGCCCTGAGCTACAGGTGGAGTGCCAGTGAGCGAGGGGCTGCCTCACAACTGTCCTCTTAATGCGTGGCCCCAGCAACACTGATGGAGAGCTGATGGCACACCAAGTCCCTCTCCTGGATGGAACTGGTTGCCCAGCCCTCTCCTGGTTGCCCTGAAGAAGGCAGGGGAATAGACCAGAAGGCATTTTAAGGATTTTCTAAAGAACTCCAGCAGAACAATGATTTTTTGTTGTTTTATGAGCCTAACAAGCCACTATCAACATCACTGTGGCTCTGACCAGATTTCGGCAGTCTTCCTGCCCCCAAATCAAAATCACCCTCATAAAAGCAAGGTTTGTCATATCTGTAATTGTTCCACAGAATATTTGCTGGTGGTTAAGGGTTTCAGTAAAAGTATATCCAGTAACATTTCCATTAACAGCACTTTCAAGATCAAGTACTCTGAGAGACTCACAATATACAGGAAGTTTTTTGTTTTAGAATAGGTCAACTAACTGTCATCACTCAGTCCCTCCTTCTGTTTATACTCTGAGGGCACCAGGACACCTCCCCAACCCCTGCATGGAGGCTTGAGTCTATCTGCTGGTGGTTATGGTTGAATGCTGGTAGCTGGTTTAAAAAATATTCTTTACAACCAAATTTCTTTATGGAATCTATACTCATTTGTAAAAAACTGTCTACATCTATAACCTCTTAATCCACTAAATTTGGTTTCTACCTCTACCTTTTATTGTAATGGCTCTTTATAAAGTGGACAATGGTCCATTGTCCACCCAACAGACATCTCCTTGGTGTGATGCTGGGCTTCTTTCCTTTTTAGTGAGCTGGAACTTTCCTGTCTTTCCTCTTCGTGGCTCCGCTTGGCCAATCTCTTTTCTAATTTCTTCCTTGGCCAACTTGTAAAATCCTGGCCTGTTTCTCCTCTCACTGGGCATTCTTTCCAGGGAGGTCACTTTTTACCACCACCACGTGCCGAGGTCCCCGACATCTTTGTCTCTAGCACGCAATTCTCTTCAGATCCACGTACCAGTACTTCCTGTTGCTTCAGAGGACTTCTCATCTTCCCCAGACCTCTTTAGGTCTCTGTAGGCCTCTTCTGAGCCAGTGGCACTATTATACACTTAATTATTTAAATCAAAAACATGGAAATTATTCTCAGCATCCACTTTCTAGTTGTGTGACATTGGCTGAATAACTTAACCTCTCTCCCTCTCAGTTTCCTCATCTATAAAACAGGCACATGGGTTATTGTGTGAGATAATGGAATTAACATGTGCAAACTGATTAGCCTGGTGTCTAGTTCTGAGAGACCCCCCCACCCCACCCCCCGCACTGCAATCAGCTGTGATTATTTCTCTGAGCCAAGTGGGCAGGAGGAGCCTCGGCCGAGCCTCCCCTCCTCACCTGAGTGGCAGCAGATGCAGAAGGCTGGGGGTGGCAGCAGTCGGCCGAGATCTATAGGGAGGTGCCCTGAAATCTATGTATGCAGCTTGCTCTTGTGGGTGGGACCCTGAGTGATAAAAGTTTCTCTTCAGATTAGGTTCACAGGACCTGGGATCTGCTCTCCCCACCCACAGGCAGGGTGGTCACATTCTATCTTCGTTACAGGATTAGGTGTGTTACATGACAGCCTGTGTATAACACATTGTACAGTATGCCTTTGAAATGGAAGGGTCCTTCTGTTCTCTTACATTCATAGAATCAAATATTCCTAAACTAACAGGAAGTCAGGGTTTTCCCTTTTAATTTACCCTCGAACAAATGAGCTCCTTGACTTCTATATAATGCCATGTACTTGTCTACAGAACAGGCATAACGGCTCTTGTCTTACAGCTTACTTCCTTGGATTCTGGAAGAATTAACATATTTTGTGCACTGTACAAGGCTGCTATGGCAACGAAAGCCCTGTGGACCACATCTAGCCCTGATACATTAGAATGAGAAAGACCAAACTCAGCAGAGACGCGAGGGAGCAAACACTTTGCCTGTTGCCGGTGGCACCGCAAATTGGCTCAGCCTTTCAGAAGAGAAAGCCAGCAGCGTGTTGCTAGAGATACACAACTGTTCATCCCTTTGGACTGATTGATTCCACTTTGGGAAATACATCCCAAGGAAATTACACCTGCTCCTTCCCCATGCTCCAAAAAAGACATTTACAAAATGTCCCGAAACAAAGAAACGAAAAACCTACATATCTTTAAAGGGACGGGGGCACCTTACCACGAGACAATGGAAAAAAAAGACAGGTGGGTGGACCACGTGGGTGTGTCCCATGTGTGGGAGTGTGTTCAGTCTTCTCATCTGGGTTGTGGGAAAATGAGGGTGTGCCAGGAGTTAACATGTGTGGAAAGCACCCAGAAGAGTGTTGGGCACATTGCAATCACCAAATGCTTCTCTTGATAATGATAATGATGAAGATGATGTTGATGTCACCAAAAGTGAAAGGAATAAAAGGAAAATTACAAAATAGCATGCACATATGTATTAGCACAATTATATCAGATACTGATCATTTCTAGACTAGAATTGAGAGGATTGGAAAGTTTTAGTGTTTGGTAGTTTCCTTCAGTTCCCCCCAACTTTATTGATACAATTGGCACATATTATTGTGTTAAGGACACACTTCTATACTGCAATATGATTACCACTGTGGTGTTAGCTAACACGCCCAGCATGTCATATAATTACTTTTTTTGTGTGTGGTGAGAACACTAAAGATGTATTCTCTTGGCAACCTTCAAGTATATAGTTCAGCTTTGTTTTTTCCTTTTTATTGAATTTATTGGTGTGACATTGGTTAATAAAATTATATAGGCTTCAGGTGTACAAATCTATACTATATCATCTTATATTGTATTATGGGTTCACACTCATGTCAAGTCTCCTTCCATCACCACCTACGCTCCCCTTTTCATCTCTTCTCCCCGCCCCCGTCACTGCCCTTTTTCTCTGGTAACCACCATTCTGTTTTCTGTGCTTATAAATTGTTGGTTTGGGGTGGTTTGGGGTTTTGGTGGTTTTTTTTGCTTAATCCCTTCACCTTTCCCACCCAGCCTCACAATGCCCCTCCTCTCTGACAACTGTCAGTCTGTTCTACCGATGAGTCTGTTTTTATTTTGGTAGTTTATATTGTTTTTGATTCCGCATATGAATGAAATCATATTTTACTCGTCTCTGACAAATCATTTTATCTGTAATCACAATGCTGGGCATTAGATTTCCAGAATATACTCTTCTTCCAACTGGAAGTTTGTACTTTTTGACAAACACCACCCCTCAGCCCCTGTTAATCACCACTCTATTCTCTCTTTCTATGAGTTCCATAGGTTCCTTTTTTCCCCTTAAGTTCATAATAGATCAAAAACTAAATGAATGAGTAGGTATCTCCAAAACACTTGCTCTGAAGGCAAATTTAGCGATTTCTGTGAAATAATTATCTGGCTACAGCCAAAGTCATTGACTAATTTCTAAGTAAACCAACAAGTCTCACCAGGACTGGGGTGCTAGAAACCGGGCCCTGCTGGCTTTCCAGCTGACTTGCCTGTACTTAGCCAGTGTGGCACCAGGACCAACAGAGGTCTCAGCTGAAGTCTCAAATTCTGTCCATTCTACCAAGTTGCACAACACTCTGTGGCTTCCCCAAATGAGGGGTTTCACCCAACTTGCCACATGCTTCCTGTGTAATTCAGTAGCTGAACATTTTCCTGGCAATGATTTCTATTTCTAACTCAGTGGGAAGGAGGACAACCTCGTACTCTTGAGAGAGGCCTTCCTTGAGCCTGCAGGATGAGATGTATATCATATATACCTGAATACTAGGGAACCCCATGTGGAATTTAATTGGGGCCTTTTGAGGGGGAATGTTGGCATTTAAAAAGCAGGCCCTGGTCCAAGGATACTTTATTCTCCTGCCTTGGCCCACTCCCCTTCTCATCCATGCCCACACAGCAGCCAGGCCGAGGTCGCTGCCCAGTGTAAAGCCTTCCAATGGCTTCACTGTGCTCTTAGAATATTACCTAAATTCCTCACCATGTACCTGCACATGCTTCTCTCTCATCTTGCATGGCTCTTCCCTCTCTGCTTCACTTACCTAAGTCCTATTTGTCTTTCAGGCCTTAGTTTGTGTCACTTCCTCAGAGAAATGTCCTTGGTCTACGTTAGATCTGTCAGTTAAACGTTCATCCTGCACTTTTGCTTAACACTCAACGTTCATATAATTACTTGTCCCATATCCATTTTCCCCATAGGATTAGGAATTCTGAGCAGGCAGCCGTGTCTGAATCATGCCCACTGTCCTAGCCCAGTAACTGGCACATATATATTTGTTGGATGTATGGCCAATTAAAGGAGTAAGTGAATGAAGAGGGAAGAATGAACAAAGACTGAAGGGCAACTTCCAACCAAGACGGTGGTGTAGGCAGACATAGGTCTCCTCTTTGCACAACAACAACTAAATTACAACTAAAATATAGAACGACCATTGGTCAGAACTAACAGAAATCAAATTGAATGGAAGTCTGACAACTACAGAATTAAAGAAACCACATCCATCCACTACAGTAGGAGGGGTGCAGGCACAGAACAGGCTGGTCTCACATCCACATGTGGTAGATAAAAATTTGGAAGGGATATCTTGGGAGCAAGGAGTCCCAGCCCCTCACCAGCACCCCCCCCCCCAGCCAAGTATTCTAGTGCCAGAAAGATAAGTCCCCACAATTTCTGCCTGCAAAAACCAGCAGGGATTGAGTTGGTGGAAGAAACTTCTGGAACCCCCCAGCAGTTCCTCTTAAAGAACCCACACATGGACTCACCTACTCAGACTCACTCCCTCTGGATTCCAGTGACAAGGTAGTGGCTTGAGGGGTACCAGTAGCCTACAGAGGGAGACTGAGGTGTCTGGCATCAAGGCAAGCAGAGGCTATTGTCCCTGTTCTGGGCCCTCCTCTCACAGAGGTGGCAGACTGGTGCTGTATCTAAGATTCCATCAACCTAGCTACCACTGTTTGACCTGCCCTGGGGATTCCCAAAGGCCCACCCAAGCTGCATTTTCTTTTTTTTAAGATTTTATTTATTTTTAGAGAAGGGAAGGGAGGGAGAAAGAGGGGGAGAGAAACATTAACATGTGGTTGCCTCTCATGTGCCCCCTGCTGGGGACCTGGCCCACAACTCAGGCACGTGCCCTAGACTGGAAATCCAACTGGTAACCCTTTGATTAGCAGGCCATCAGTCAGTCCCTTGAACCACACCAGCCAGGTCTCAAACTGCTTTTCCATATGAATGGAATGGAGAGGCTGCTCAAGGAACTTTGTGACACTCCTGGCTCATGCTTCACAACTTCCTAAATCCTCTCAAACAAGCAGCAGCTGGTCTCAGTGAGCCCCGGGCCCAGAATCAGCGGCCTAGATTCACAGTTTGGCTTCGTCTAGAAATTTCAAAGCCCAGCACAAGTAGCAGACATTTTAGGTTGTTTATAATTCAGGCAGGGTGGCAGTGGGCAAAACACAGGTGGGGGCTGATCTTGGCCTGTACCACCCAGGAAAGCCCAGGGGCAGCACACCAAGTGGACAGCTACAGACTATGTAAGAGCACCACAACTGGCCCCCGATTCTCCACCAGAGTGGAGTTTGGTGGTTAGTGGTCACGGCCAATCCTTGCAGCTCACTGGCCTGGATAAATCCTACCCATTGGTCTGCCAACAGCAATCACGGCTCAACGATAAAAGGAGGGTGTACTTAGCCCACACGAAGGGTACACCTCAAGTACTCAGCTTGGGCGATAGGGGAGGCTGAGCCACGGGACCCTATATGACATTGACTATACTAGGCCACACTACCAAGACAGGGAGTCAAAGCAGCTCTACCTAATACATAGAAATAATCACAGGGAGGCTGCCAAAATGAGGAGACAAAGAAACATGGCACAAATGAAAGAACAGAACAAAACTCCAGAAAAAAAAACTAAACAAAATAGAGATAAGCAACCTAGAGTTCAAACACTGGTTATGAGGCTGCTCAAGGAACTTTGTGACGATCCTTAATAACATAAAAAAGATCCAGTCAGAAACAAAGGATACACTAACTGATATAAAGAACAATTTGCAGGGAAACAACAGTAGAGTGGATGAAGCTGAGAATCAAATCAATGATTTGTAACATAAGGAAGCAAAAACAACCAATCAGAATAACAAGAAAAGAGAATCCAAAAAGAATGAGGATAGTATAAGCAGTCTGTGGGACAACTTTAAGCAATCCAACATTATTCTTATAGGGGTGCCAGAAGGAGAAGAGAAAGAGCAAGAAATTAGAAATCTGTTTGAAAAAACAATGAAAGAAATCTTCCTTAATCTGGTAAAGGAAATTTACATGTTAGTCCAGAAAGCACAGAGTCCCAAACAAGATGGATGCAAAGAGGCCTACCCCAAGAAACATCATAACTAAAATACCAAAGGTTAAAGATAAAGAAATGGGAGAGTGGGTGTGGGAGAATGGGTGAGAGGTGAGGGGATTAAGAAGTACAAGTAGGTAGTTACAGAACAGCCATGGGGGTGTAAAGTACAGTATAGGAAAGGGGGTACCCAAAGAACTCACACGTATGACCCATGGACATGAACAAGGTTGCACTGCCTTAGGGAGTGGGGCTGCTGGGTAGAGTAGGGCTAAGGAGGAAAAACCGGGGCAACTGTAATAGTATCATCAATAAAATAAAATAAAATAAGACTTAAGGGCTTAGGCCCTCTCGAATTAATCATGAATCTGGAATTTCAGCATTTAGTAGGGAAAGTATGACAGTGCATGCAGGGAGTTATCTGGAAGCCTCTGAAGTCACACCAAGCCAATGACTTAGCGGATGGTTATGCACTTCTGCAATAAGCCAAGGTCATCAAAGGCCGCAGGCTTCCTGGAGCTCCAAGAACACTTACCCGCACTATCTGTGTGGTTCTTATTGGCTGTAGTTTTCATCATTTTCTCGCTGAATAAAAGAAAAAGAGAGTTAGTTATATAGTTTCTAAAATGCCTTTTTTTGGTCCCCTCCATTCATTATTCTAAGCAATGAGCAGCAGGTAGTAATGGTATCAAGCAATGAAGGTCTTTTGGCATCAGCACCACCATTGGCCGGGATGGTAAAGGCTTCCCAGGTGTGCATCTGACACTGCCGGTGGAATGCAGCAGGTGGGCCCTCACAACTTTCGGATGACGGAGGATGTGGAGACGAGAGGATGGCGATTGCAGGCACTGCGCAGTGGTCCATGAAGCTACATGCACTGGGAAGCCCATTTACCCTTCTGGGGCCAAAGTGTTACCTTCGACCAAGAATTACCAGAAGAACAAAAACAAACAAACAAACAAACAAACCATGATTCAGAGAGATGTAAATATTTTCAGCCTTGAAATGATTACAAGAAAACAGATTTGAATGAATGATCATAATGATTAGAGAGAAACAGACTGAATTATTTTTAATTGGTTTGCTTTCTTCTTTTTACCTAGATGCATCTTTGCTATTACTTGTGAGGGACCCTTTAAAAAGCGCAGACTGCACAAGGCCAGTTAAACTGGCAATCTGTTTCTCCATGGCTTGCATCCTCTCTCTGTAAAACAAGAGAACTGTTTGTTAAAGCTCCACTGACCTTCGGACAGGTTTGTCCAGGTGGATGGTCACGTGAGGTTCATAAAAAGTACTACCTGGTAGGCCATCAGAGTGCACCCCGACCTGGCGCGGGGAACATGAAGAACCTGCAAAGCCCTGCTGAGGTCCAGAGTCGATGATCTGAGTTGAGTATTAACCCAAAGATCTCACTGAAAAGATGCTGCACAGACCTGCGGGGGCCTCCCAGAAAACTGAAAAGCACCTCCTTCAGAAATAATTGTGTTTGCGTGTGCAATTTTGAGCCTTTCTGCTCTGCTTTTGCCATTTCACCTCTGGCACCGGTGGTGCCCTAGGCCACCTTTGGCCCAGAGGCACAGGCATCTCAGCTGTACTCCTCAGCTGGGGGAGCTGAGGACTGGTTTTGGTGTGAATGATGGGGGTGTTTGTGTGTATGAGGGAAAACGTGTTGTATCACCTGAGAGCAACACCAATGAATGTCTGAGCCCAGAGGAAAATGTGATCGAAATCAATGTCTGACTTGCAGGTAAGCTGTGCTCCATCTAAGGGCATAGCAACTTTAACCGGGGCTTTTACAGGATCAAGAAAAAAAAGAAATGTCCCTAACAACTTGGTCATCTCAAGACCTGGATGGAAAAACCTTCCCAATTATTTACTGTGCAGACACTGGACCTCTCTGTTCAGGACTCTCGAATGCTTCATCACAATTCATTGGTTTGCATTTCTATGTCTGAGATAAGGGCAGTTTCACAGGCTATTACCATTACTTTCAGGACATAAAAGCATCACAAGTGACCTTCCTCTGCTGGCTAGGTGTAGAGGACATCACACGCGTCATGGCATGCAGGTTCAGTAACACTTATTGGGGACTTTGAAACAGTAAAGGGAGGTAGGCCAGGGCAGCCTGAATGGTGTGGGCACCTGGCCTGCCTTTGTACCCCATGAGCAGGTGTCCCACATGAGCTGTGACAGAGAAGGCCCCCACTCTTCACTGTGGTCAGTCCCACTGACCTCTCATAGTGTGAGCAATGGCTATTCCTGCACTATGAATGCAAGTTCATACAGGGAGGCCTTTATGGACAAGCCAACTATTGTATCTGGTGCCCGATGGGAAGAAATGTGGCGGTCTGTACATTCCCTGGAAAACAGTAACTGGTTAAGTTGGACTTATTGAGAGATGCTGTATCTGTATTTTACACTTCATGGCAATCAAGAGGACTTTCAAGAGTAATTTTTTTCCATACACGACTTTTTGGCCTTGTGTTTTGCCTTTAGAATATGAAACATTGGCCTAGTTTCACAATTACAAGCTTCTGACTTCTAAATTCCACGCGTTTTCTGTAGTTTAGCAGTCCCCAACCATTTTGGCACCAGAGATGGGTTTTGCGGAAGACAATTTTTCCATGGCTGGGGATTGTAGGGAGGGAACAGGGGGCCAGGGAAGATGTGGGACAGGGGAGTGGGGACAGGAGGCAGCACTGAGTCGGTAATGTTTGCCTGCTTCTCGCCTCCTGCTGGACAGCCTGTTCCCGGTCCGTGGCCCAGGGCTGGGGGACCACTGCTTTAGTTTAAAGTGGATGGTTCTGTCAGAATACTGAGTTTCTTAGACATAATTCATGCAGTCTAAATAGTTAGACTACACACCAATTAAGGAAAAAGAAACAATTTAAGTATGAATAGTATGATTGCTTTGCTCTAATAGTGTGGGAAGGAGAAATCTCAAGCAGTGAGAGTGGAAGTGCTCCCCATCTCCATGCAGTCACTTCCCACATGTTTCCGGGTATAGCAGTGAACGCCGAACCCCTGAGCTGCTGTTGCACCTGTGCTTCTGGTCTCTCTGATGAAACACAGTGCATGTGCCAAAGAGAAAAATTAGTAAAAAAACTCCACTCAAGAAAGCAGGTTAGTAAATCCCCGAAGGATACCCCAAGTTCATAGGACCCAAGTCGCTATGGCATCTCAGGAATGACTGGGTGGTAGCTGGTTGTGCTGCTGCCATGTGGGAGACACAGACTCACACAAATGGGCTCTCGGAAATGAGTGAGTTCCATGGGGCCCGGCTGAGCACTGAGTAAAAGTTTTCCAGTGCCCTGTTCTTCCCATGGTAACACAGGAAGTAATAACACTCATGGCCCCAGAGTCGAAGTGCATTCAGGGCCATCTCCAGATGTATTAGTTTACTGCTTTCAGCCAATCCTGGGCAAATGCAAAGGATTTCTTTCCCTTCCTTCCTTCCTTCCTTCCTTCCTTCCTTCCTTCCTTCCTTCCTTCCTTCCTTCCTTCCTTCCTTCCTTCCTTCCTTCCTTCCTTCCTTCCTCCCTCCCTCCCTCCCTCCCTCCCTTTCTCCCTCCCTCCCTCCCTCCCTCCCTCCCAAAAAGCAGCATGACATTTTTAGGGTCTAGACAGCATTGGTTAGGAAGCAGCTTACTGGGTTCCATGAAGCTGGAGTGTGGGGTAGGAAGGCATGGTGACAACCTGACTACACACAGACGGCAGTACTACAGAGAAATGTAACAGGCAAGTCTACGACTACAGAGTATACGTGAGACTCCAACACAAGAGAAATGGCAGAAGGGATTCCAACACTAGCTCTAGGCACAACCCAGATTAGGGCTAAATCAGTGTTTCTGATCCCCCTGGACGACAGCTTTCATTGCCTTGTCTAAGAAAGGAGAGCAGTATCATTAAAAACCAAAACAAAGCGCCTGGATTGTTCCAGATTCAGGACATTGTTCTGCAACAGATTCATCACAGGGGTTAGAACTGCCTAATGTTATAGGACAGGCTGGGTCATCTCCCCATGGGCGTCCATAGGGTGGCCTTTTCCTTGGCTCAGTGGGTACTTGGCTTTTTGATGCACTTCCCCAGATAATGGTTTTAAAGGTGCAGAGAAAGACAATCCCCAAATCAAACCCACTCTCCTTATTCCTCGGTGACCATGCTGACATTGTTGCAGAACTTCCAGGGGTGAAAGTCTGGATGAGTTGAGGGAAAAAGCCCTATATTCAGTCCAGGTATCCACTCGGTTCTCCTTTTTTGCACCTGTGAGGATGGAGGTACATGCTCCCTGGGTGGCCTCCTCCAGGCTGCGTCATGAGCTGGGCCACCAGGAAGGAGACAGAATCTCTCAGAACCTTCTGAGTGTTCAGAACACTTGAGCTTGACAGTCGAGGGGGAGCAGTTCTCTCCCACTGCCCAGGAAGTGGTGGGTCCTGCACGAGGCCCAGGCGGTGAGTGTGCTGATTGGGCACGTGTGACCCGCTGCCTTGGCCAAACCCCCGTCACGGAAATGCAATGCTTTGACACAGGGGAATGAGAAAACTTTTTCCTTCCTATTTAATCATCAAAGTGTTTCTGGGTTCAGGATTCATTTGAGGGAGATTATCTGATTTATAAATTCATAAATAAGATTGTCTTTCCATTTCATGGTTGGTAATCTGGAAACAATTTTATGGTTTAACTAAATTACAGCAACTGGAAACTTATGCAGACTTTGCCCATGATGAAATGTCATGAAGTAGATTTTAATGTGAAAGGAAAAAAAGCGAAATGCAGTGGAAGAGAAATTATATATGACCCTGTCATTTTATTGCAGGGGCAATTTTATATAATAATCATCAGAATATTAAAGATGCTTAAACTAATTCTTGCCAATATCGCTTGGTTTAAGGTATTACAGGACTGGTATAATCACTGTTGAAAAGACAGTTTAAAGTGATTTCATAAACCATTTTCTATCATTTCATAAACCATATTTATGGGATTACTATGTATGGTTAACTAGTCGTTTAGTGCCAGAAGTCAGCCTGGATGAATGAATCTTTTCGGGACCCAAGCATAATATTGATACAAATTCAAGTCCAAGTCCAGGTAAAGTGCTGATTCTAGTATTTAAATCCCTGCTGCTACAGTGGGCTTTCCTGTGAGCCCCCGTCTGTCTGTGAAGAAGACAAGCAGGACCTAAACAGTGTGCAGTCCGCTTCCTGTCTTCAGAGTAGAAAAGGAAAAAAATTGCATTTGAGGGAATAATTTTTGGCAGTAACTCCATTTACACAATGTTTTTGATTCAAGTTTTTGCCTTGAACACTGGACTTATCTTTGTTCTGACCGATGAGACCTTATTAAGCCTGAATTAAGTCCTTATCATTGACTATCTGAGTAAATTAACGGCTATTAAAAAACAAGTCAAGGCTGTAACAAGTATGTGACTGGTAATTCCCCTATAATGAAGCCCTGAGGCTATGCTTTTAAATATCTAAAACAAGTGCCGGGGAGCCCGCTGAAACCAGCCAGCCCACCTGAGGGTGGATTAGGACCCTGGGCTATGGCATGCACCTTCCTAAGGAGTTACTAACTTTGAAACCCTGTGGTGCAGGACGGTCAGTAACGAGGATGATAACTAGGGCCGGCAATCTGAGAGTACTTTCTAGGAGGCCTATCGCTAACATTGTGTGATTTTCCACCCCCTGCTCATCCCTGTCATCTCTCTCTCCCCAGAAAGTGATGAATGGTCAACATGTCATCCACAAGTGTTCCTGGGCACTTAAGCTGTGCTGGGCACGGTGCAAGCTGCTGCGGACACAGCAGTGAATAAAGTGAATCATTCTTGGGCAGTACCTTCCTTTCACAAAGTCACTCTTTTTTTCTGGGATAAATCTAAGTGAACTGAAACCCATGAGTCTTGGCAGTGCCAAAGGCATTTTCCAGAACTGAATCGTGAATAGGCTTAAAGCAAGGCTATGCCATTGTTTGCTCATGCCCTGACTCCCTGGTATGAGGGAGAAAAACCAAGGTAATTAAAGACCCTGTTTTCAGATGAGTTCAACAGAACACTGGAATTCAAATGATGTGAACTAGTGGCAAAGCCTCAAATAGGACTCTGAGCAGCAAATTTTCTATTTCTGCCCCACTTTAACCCATTGGTGAATGAACTATATAACTGAAGACCTTATTCCCCAAACTCCCAACACCTGTAACTGCTCA